TGAGGGCTTTAACATTGCATCCATTATGATGTTTCTGGAGCTTGTCGTTGTCCAGATGCAGTCAAAATGTTGGAATCCTCTGAATGCACCTGGTCGCATGTAGGATGCGGAGTAGATGGCTCTCTTTGGGAATGAGGGAAAGACTGCACCAACCCGCCCTGGCCCATCAAGGTATCCGAAAAGGGAGTTGTTATGACAACACCAGCCTCTGCGATAAGGTTCGCCCAAGTAAGGGCTTGGGAGCTTCAACATTGCAGCCACTATGATGCATCTGGACCTTGTCATTGTCCAGATGCAGTCGAAATGTTGGAATCCTCCGGCTGCACCTGGTCAGATGTAGAATGGTGGGTATATGGCTCGCTCTCTGGGAATCAGGAAAGAAACTGCACCAACCCTCGCTGGCCCATCGAAGTATATCTGAGAAGGGAGTTGTTGTTACGACACCGCCCTCGGCGACATGATTTGCCCAAAGGAGGGCTTGGGGGAGCTTCAGCTTTGCATCCACTGTGATGTATCTGGACCTCAAAGCCGTCCAGATGCCGTCAAAAATGTTGGAATCCTCTGAATGCACATGGCCACATGTCAAACGCTGAGTAGATGGCTCATTCTCCTGGAATCAGGAAAAACTGCACCAACCCTTCCTGGCCCATCAAGGTATCTGAGAAGGGAGTTGTTGTGACGACACCGCCCTTGGCGACATGATTTGCCCAAGGGAGGGCTTGGGAGCTTCAACATTGCGTCCACTACGATGTTCCATTCGTTGCCGAAGAAGACGTTCTAATTCGATCGCAAATTCCGGGTCCCATCTTGCAACAATCGTCGGATCGACAGCGTAGCAAACATATAAACAAGTGATGGCACTCTCCACGACCACCAACGCTAATCCCACCTAGAGTAGACACAATTGGAACATCAACAAGGCAAAAAGTCGAGAACAAACCGATGGACCCAGCTCAGTTGGTACACCAATGAACTGTTGAAATACGGACCTGAGTTCAAATCCAGACATACTAGATCAATTGAATCAAATAAATTGAATTAATTAATTTAATTTTGAATTACCTGGGGCCAGTCACTTCGAGAATCTTATCGCAAGCTGTGTTACAAACCGGGTCACCTGGGTCACCTCGGTTGCCTGGGTGGCCCGGCCGTCCGCCGGGCAAGGGCCAGGGAAGGTCGCTGTTTAAAAAAAAAAAAAAAAAAAAAAAAAAAAAAAAAAGAAGAACGAATAAACTTCAATAACGACCATGTTGTGCAGAAAAATAAACTGAACAACTTCTTAAACACTTTTTTCCTCAGGACCTGATCGAAATTCTTTGCTGAATTGAGCATAAAAATTAAAAAACACAAACTAATCGTTTTTAAAACTTTTTAAAACTTCTAGGCTACCAGCCAGGCCGCCCGGGTGACCTTGTTTGCCCAGGCGGCCTGGCCGTGCAAGGGCCAAAGAAGGCCCCAGCCAACAACAACAACAACAACAACAACAACAACAACAAAAAAAAAAGGAAAAAATCTGAAAAAAAGACTATGTTATGCAGAAAAATATATAAACTGAACAACTTTTGCCTCAGGGTCTCATTGAAATTCTTTGCCGAATAAAAAATAAATTAAATAATAATAATAATATATATATATATTTATTTATTTTTTGCCCGGCCGGGCAGGGGCACTCCGGTAGCCTAGATTTTCAGTTCGTTTTTCATTTTTATTTTTTTATTCATTTTTGGCCTGGATGGGGGACTGGTGCTAAGCCACTCTGGTAATGTAGATCGCAAGGCTGTGGCTTTTTTTTTTTCTTTTCAAGTGACAGAACAGGCACATCATCTGTTTGAGCTGTATCGAAAAGTACACCCTGCTTTCATGTCAGATTATGGGCCTCACTTCACTTCACAACATTCTAAATGCATCTGGAATGGGTAATGGTTCTGAACTTCCGATACATTTCTCAAGTCTGACAGTTTTTTTTCGAAGATACATTTTTCGTTTATAAAGCATTTCCAGATCTGTTTAATTAACTTTGTGTCTTTGAAATTCCTTTTCTGTAGAACCCTGACCTGCCCAATTCAGCTGAGCATTGCTCGAGTTGCTGTTGATAAAAGCTTTTCCCCATCATTCATGACATCTGTTATGACCTGTCATCACACGGACTGAAACAGACAGCCGATTTCTGAGTCTTGCCGTGGAATGCATGCCATACTAAGTTCCCCCGCCTGCTAAGTCTGCTTGT